CTAGACCTTGCGTTTGAGGATGGTACGCTGACCCAAACAGCTTCTTGATCCCCAAAGTCTGATAGAATGACTTGGCCACCTCAGACGTGAAGTTCGACCCGTTGTCGCTCAACAGCCGCGACGGCTCTCCGTGCCGAGCAACCACTCCGTTCACCATAGTATCCACGAAGGTTACCGAATCCAGACGCTCTACTGCAAAGGCTTCCGCCCACCGCGTGAAGTAGTCTACGAACACGAGGATGTACCGGTGACCTCTCTCAGTCAAGGGCAAAGGTCCTATGGCATCGACCACTAACAGTGAGAACGGACCAGTCAGGTCAGCCCCAGGCATGCGCTGCATGAGCCCAGATCGCCACGGTCGCGGTCGCTTCCCGCCGCCACACACGCCGCAGGTGCGGACGTACTCTTCGACGTCTTTCGTCCAGCCTGGCCAAAAGGCATGCCGTCTAACCTTCTCCGTCGTCTTCGTCAGTCCCATGTGAGACGACAGCACATCCTTGTGACAGAAATGCAGCACCGTTTCCACGTATGTCATAGGCACGACCGGAACTGAGATCGAGCGAGCAGGGCCGGCTCGAGCCGGCAAGTTTACGCGACGCAGAGCATTCCTTCTTGGACGGAGTACCGGGGTCCCATCCGCACCACTCGCGCTCGCAGGTACGGATCCAGCAGCAACGCTCCGTCCAGCAAGAATGCCACCAGCGCTTTGATCCACGGCACCTTCAACTGTTCACTCACGAGCTGCTCTCGATCAAGGCTTAACTGGTCGACAGGTGACGGGGCGACCGGTCCGACTTCTTCTCTGACAGGATCCTCGCGTAATCTAACCGGCCCAGGGTCGTCAACGTGCCCATCGGCCGAGTCGCCAGCAGCTCCGTCGGCGTATTCCACTTCGTCGTCCGCCTCGGGACTCGAATGCTCCCCGACTGAAGACGGACCCACGTCGTCGTCGTCCAGATTCAGTAGGTCGTTCATAGTCAGCGCCGCCACTTTGTCCACTGGTAGCCGAGAGAGACCGTCCACATGCCCCATAGCCGTACCGGGCTTATGGTGTACCTTGAACTGCAAAATCGACAGCTCCATGGCCCACCGGGCCAGATTAGCGTTCGAAGTCCGATTGCCGGGACTGAAGACCCACGTTAGCGCTTGGTGGTCCGTGTACACGTCGAACTCGCGCTTGTCGAGATAGCTCCGAAACTTACGCATCCCCCAGACGACGCCTCAGCACTCAATCTCCGAAATCCCATCCTGGTTGTTAATCCAATTCTTCTGCGAACCGGTCAACAACTTGCTGGCGTAAGCCACTACACGGTCACGGCCATCAGCTTCCTGCATCAGACAAGCACCGACGGCGTACCGAGAGGAGTCCACAAACAACTTGAATCGCCTCCGGCCGTCCGGATAGGTCAGAATAGGAGGCTTCACAAGAGCTCTCTTCAGCTGCCGAAACGAAGCCTCGCAGTCATCGTTCCACTCGAACGGAGCGTCCTTCGCTTTCAGTCTTTCCAGAGCCGCCGATATCGCCGCATATCCAGGGATGTACCTCCGGAAGTAGCTCGTCAGGCCCAAGAACGACCGAATCTCGTGCAAGTCCCTCGGCGGCCGGATGTTCATCACCGCTTTCACTTTCTCTGGGTTCGGCAGAATGCCGGCCTGCGTCACAATGTGACCCAAGAACGTCCCCAATGACGCTTCTTCATCTTGAGCTTGAATCCCGCCTCACGGAACCGAGTCAGCACCTGACGGACAAGCAGTAGGTGCGTAGGGAAAATCCTTGCTGACGATCACACAGTCATCCAGGTACACCAAGCACACTCGCCACTTCAGGTCCACTAACACGGTCTCCATCAACCGTTCGAACGCCGTCACCGCATTACAGAGTCCAAACGGCATCACCAGCCACTCGTACAGGCCGAACTTACACGTGAACGCCGTCTTGGCCACGCTGCCCTCGTCCATCGGCACGTTCCAGTAACCGGACGCGATGTCCATCGTAGAGAAGATCTGAGCACCTCCTAACACATCCAGGATATCGTCAATCAGAGGCATAGGATAGCAATCCTTCACCGTCCCAGCATTAAGCTTCCGGTAATCAATACAAAAACGAATTCCTCCGTCCGGCTTCCAGATCATCAGGACGGGACTAGCCCACGGACTGTTCGACGGCCTGATCAACCCGAGATCCAGGTATTGCTGCACTTCAGCCTCCATGACTTCCCCTTCTGCCATCGACACACGGTAGGGCGGCTGCTTGATGGGCTTACTATCCCCGATGTCTATCTCAAACTTGAGTCGGTCTGTCCTCCCCGGTTTCATGGACGACGTGACGAATAAGTCGTCGAAGCGGGTCAGCTCCTCGCGGAACAGTTCAATCTGTTCGTCCGTCAGCTTGGACTGTGAGAAATCCGCCTCGCCGTTATCTTCCTTGTCGGGCGGCACCGTCGGCTCTGGGCTCTCGATCTTCTCGAGCTCCACTAACTCAACGTTCCCCGAGGCCGACGACACTTTCGCTTCTAGGGACTCCGTCGACTCGACCGCCGCGCACTAGGCACGGAAGGCGAAGGAGGGCCAAACGCCGACTCGGGAATCACTGACGCGCAAGCGACCGTGGAGCCCTTCTTGACCCAACTCACGTCGAACGACGCATTGCAGACCTCGACTAGGACCTGGCCGTTTTCCACCGTGCACAAGGTCCGCGCGATACACAGAGTAGGCGAGAGACCAACGGTGCTCTCCACCAGGACCGTAGTCTTGTCAGCAGTGTCGCCGACGACGTTGGCCATCACTAGAGCTTGGCCTCACGGAGGCAGGCATATCGAGGCGGCCATCTGAGCCATGTAGCGGCCTGCACCATCGTGTACCCGAGCGGCAGCTCCTCACCGGTATCCTTGAGCGTCATCCTCCGTTTGGCGACATCGATCACCGCCCCCAAAAGCACCCAACCCAAAATGGCGTCGACGTGCAACATGTCAGCTACCAGCACACTAATGGAGACCGCAACAGTTCCCAGTCGCAGTGTGAGACCGATACATCCCCGTATCTGGAGAGGGTGTCCCGACGAGCTCTTGACTTGGCCGCCGTACGGCTCTAGCGCCTCCTGGGACCGGCCTAATCGCTTCAATACTCGACTGTCCACGAGACTCAGAGCCGCACCAGTGTCGGCCAGCATCCGAGACGGTAAGCACTCAATGTACCCACTCGAGAGTGCCTCAAAGTTACCAACGGCGCACACGACTCGCCGGCCATCCTCGACCAATACATGGACATCGGCCCTTACGTCATCGTGGGAGACGCCAAACCCACCAGGCAGCTCCACGGTAACTACTTCCACCAAGCCGGTCTTCGGCACCTTCGTAACGACCCTCGGTGACGGCCGCACCACCTCCACGTACTGGGAGGCGTCGTCTTCGTCCTCGGGATAGAACAGCAGCTCGCACAACCCAGCCTTTGGCTCGAAGAGCGTAGAGACATCCGTCCGCCGGACCGCTATCCGCCGCTCACGGCGTCGTGCCGACGAATTCCTCACCCTTTTAGCCCGCAGGAGGAGCTTGGTCCAGACGAGAGCTCCTTCCGCCTCCAAGTACGCTATGAGGTATGTCTCTAAACGTCCCCACGTCCCTGGAGAGCTTGGATCGCCGGAGCACTGGCAAGAATGGTTCCGGAAGACGTTGGAGACGACCGAGGAGACCAAGCGGGCCAACCGAGACTTCACGACGCCCGTAGTAAATGCTGTGCGTACGACTATTACTACCCTAGGAAGGTCGTCGCCGTCGGAGAAGCTGAACGAGGGCCGTGAGACTCCCCGACGAGTGGAGGATCGAGGTGAGGACGACGTCTGTGCCAACATCCTGTTGCCCGCCGTCGAAACTGATGCTGGAGGAGAAGACAGAAGACTCTCACGCCCTGGTGACAGTTCACCGGTTGTTGATCGTCGAGGCGTACGTGCTGCGGCGCGTACCGCCTCTTGGTTGAAGGAGTGCTTGGAGGCTGGTAGCGCGACGGCGTCGACGCCCGGCGAAGACGGACCTACGACTGACGAAGTTCAGCCTATGTGGGACGAGGCGCCTACTTCGGATTGGCAGCGTCTCCGTGCTCTCGCCGAAAGTGAGGCGGCTGGACCTACTAAGAGCGGGACACAGGCACGGCGAGTTCGCTCCAAGACCTCGGGCGAGATGCCCAACAACCGAGACAACTCCGCTATCGAAGGGTTCCTTACGGCCTCAGTGTTTAGTCGCACACGCTCCAATACAACGGCTTCGTCCAACGGGTACAAACGGTCTTCTATCTCCTTGGCATATTCTTTACTTTCCGTATTAACTTTCATACCAGCTAAAACCGTAGCCTCTTGGCCGGGCTCATACTCCTCCATGGCGTCCAGTTCCGCATCCGTGAAGATACAGCCAGGTTCACTTTGCTCGATCTCCTTGCTCGGTGGCATCCTCGTCAGTGTCTGCCTTCTCGTCAGTGTCAGCCTCCGCGTCCGTGTCAGCCTCTTCGACCGTGTCAGCCTCCTTGTCCAAGTCAGCCTCCTTGTCCCTGTACGTCACAGCGGCGCTAGGTCCATCAACACTGCTTACTCCTTCCGCACGCACCCTTCGTCCCGGCCGCGTCTTCTGCCCCACAGGCAGAGTCTCCACAGGAACCGCGACGCCGTCGTCAGCGACCGTAGTTCCCACTGTAGAGGCCACCATGGATAGATCCACGGCTACCTTCTCACACCGTTCCGGGGCGTCGCTCACCACGACAAGGTTTCCCTCTTCTTCCGTGCCTACGATTCGGATACCCCTCTTTTTCTTCGACTTTTTCTCCTTTTGCTTCGTCTTCTTCTCTTTCTGCACCACAACAGCCACCGCACTGTCCTCTCTCCTCGTCACTGCTACCTCTTCATCAACGTCCACTGTAACGGCCTTATCTCCTCCATCCTTCACTCGGCCGCCACTCGAGTCATCCACTTGACCAGAGGAAGGAGTGACTCGTTCTTCCCCTCCCTCACGCTCCTGTCATTGACGAGACGCTTCGGCCGTCGACGCCTTCAGAGTCGTGGCCAATCCCTTCAGAGTAGCGATCGCGGGACACTGAGAGACACTATGACCGGTCTGGTGGCAGTAGAAACACCGCATCGTCGAGATTCCTCCTCCGTTTCCACCGCTAGGCGGGCCACGGGCCCCGGTATACGGCATCTCACACTCAGCCACAATATGACCGTACTGGTTACACCGTCGGCAAGACATCGTTTGGCGCGAACACGTCACGCGAGTGTGACCCTTGTAGTCACATCGGCCACAGACAGGTTCTCCTTCTTGCGTGTGGGAATCCTCCGCCATCTTGATGCCTCGACGGGCACGATTACCTCCGAACGGACCAGCTCCATCAGCTGGAGGGAACTGTCCGTGGCCGCCGGAGCTCGGCACCACTGCCGATACAGTAGGCACCGCAGCCGGCGGCACGGACTGCAAATCTTCCATCACCTGGTGTTGCCATTCCTGCTGCTGCAACAGGAAGTCGTCCAGCTTCTCGGTTAGAGCGTTCACAGTCGCCGTGTGACTATCAGTCCACGCCCGCGACTCGTCAGGAAATTCGTCGTCTTCCTCCACAGGACGATGCATGTCCTTAAACATTAGCCACTCGCACGCCTCTGGAATATCTCGAGCCGGGCTTGAATCGAGAGCAGCCAGCATCCTCTTGTTCTTCAGGCCACGACGGAACAACTGATACCACATCTGAGGGTTTGGATAGTCGAGGGAGTCGCACGGATCCGTGACTCGGTCTCCCCATTCCTCCACTGACTCGCCACGTTCACGCTTAGTGGAGTACAGTCTCTCCCAGAGCTCGTCGGCCGTCCGGCTGAGGAACCGGTTGTGGAAACGCACCTTCAGCGTCGCGAACGACTTGATGCTGGAGTTGCTCCACCACCTTTCGGCCTCACGTCCCTCCAGCTTCTGTCGGAAAACAAACAGCCACTCTCTGTCGGGCAACCGGTCAGTGTGGTGCTCGAACAGCTCCCAGAAGTCGCGCGCCTTCTCCACCGTAGCCGTGTCCGAGTAGAACATCGGCAGCACCTTCATCACAGTCGACATCTTCGTGGGCCAGTCTTCACGCCTCGGCAGGCGGGACGGCCCAGGCAGGGCCCGGACCGGCGGTCGAACACCAGCACGCGGAGAAGCCTGCGGACCTCGCGGCACCACTGCGGAACGCCCGGGGCGCTCCCTACTTGTCCCGTCCAAGAAGGGCGCGGACCAGTCCTACGCACTCCAGGCGGAGCAGGATGCGTCCGGGTCGCAGCGATACTCTGACCTCCCGTAGCAGCAGTAGCCGCCCGAGTAGTACTTGTCCCAGGCTCTCCCAGGCACTCCCGGTCCCGTGGTCTTGTAAGGGGCCACCGGATTGGCAGCGACCGTCTTCTTAACAGCGACATGTGGAGCCTTGTAAGGCTGCTGGGGCACGGACGCCGTGTACGCGAACACCGTGTTGTCCGAGGGTGCGAGTCCCTTGGACGCCCAGCTCCAGTAAAACGCCGGCCGGTCCCAGCGGTGCTCCTCGGTTCCAGTGTACTGCGGAATGAGTCCACTGGGGCTCTTCTTCTTGGCCGGTTCCCAATTCTCCACGAAAGGCTCGTCCTCCTCGTAGTGGCCGAACACTTCCCAGCTGCCGTGCTCATTGGCAAGTCGGTGGTCGTCCCCGAGAGGAACGTCCTCCTCCACCAGGGGTACCTCGTCCGGGGCCCGGCGACACAGCCTCCGTACCGGGCGCCGGCTCCGTCTTCACCTTTTCTTCTTCCTTGACCGCGTCTTTGACGCCATCCGTCACCTCGAACCGGCCTTCTCCAGCCGCCCGTAGCTCGTCGCGCGTGCTATTACGTTGAGCGTCCCGATCAGTAGCGGCTGTCACTCCCGCAGGAGCCTTCTCTTCATCATCTTCATCTTTTACATGCTCCGTCTGAGAGTCTCCGTGACTCTGTCCTTCTTCAGCCGCCTCTCTGGCAGCGGACCGCCTCAGGTCCTCTTCATAGTCGTCTTCCACGTATACCGACATGACACTCTTATCCAATGCTTCCCTCGTCAAACCCTTGTTCCCAATACTACCTTATGCGCCCCTGGGCTCGATACCAGGAATCCCGCGCCAAAAATCACACTCCAGTCCCTATGCGTCCGGGCTCGATACCAGACCTCCTTGCACTACGGGATCACACTCCACGACGTCTCCGACGGTTCTTCTTCACAACGAAGACCAATACCCTGCTTCTCCACCACGTGTCGCGAGCCGTCCTTGGATGGGACGGTCGACGCTGTATAGGAGTAGAACGGTACGAAGATATAAACAGAAGCAACAAACTAAAGACAAATGTCAACACAAGTTCTTTTCTGCTTGTTGTCTCCAAGGAAAATTCACGACTGACCTCTTACTTTCTTCCTTGCGACCAGCACTTCGCCCTCCACGGTCCTCGTTCCCGCCGTCAGGCACCGTTTCACAATCATCGTCCACGATTTTGTCCACCACGACAGCGAGGCGGTACCGCACACCCCACCGCCTCACCGCGAGGATACACTGTCCTTCAGTAGCTCCGGTCCCCCATGACTTCCGTCCTCGTCATCAACGGGGACCGTACGCTCTAGCTGCGCTTATCCTACGGAGACCGAGGCCGGTCCACAACTTCTCAGCGACTCCGTCGTGGCCCTGCATGGCGTCATCGAATGCGTGGCCCACACGAATCTGGTCGGCCGTCGAAAAGTGCGGAGGAGGGTAACGGAACTCACCGTGCCCAAGACGGTGGCCGCCAGAACCACTCGTGACACTCTCCCCGACTGAAGCTTGACGCCCTCGTCGAGCACCCGTAGGGCCTTGATCAGCTTTCCGGGCACGGTGAGCATGTCGGCGCGCCCGCACTTCGCTCAGCCGACGCACCTTTGGCTTGGGACCCACACAGCCGTCGGCCTTCCAGAACGCTACGCTGAGGCGCTCGGCCTGCTTCTGCTCCTTAAGGTCCTTCGTCCACCGGGCGTATCTGTCCTCAGCGACTTGCTTAGGCGTGCGTCGGCCCTTGGAGGCCTCGCCCCACCGCAGTAGGCGGCTAGTAGCGGCTAGCAAGACGGTCAAACCACTGGCAAGCACCACATCGTCGTTCCAGACGAATCCGCCGTCGACGCCCAAATGTCTCTCCGCCAGTACGTAGGACCACAAGGCTGTAGATGCTAAGGTGTGCGTGGTCACTGCCGCAAAGGAGACTTTCGAGGGTGTTATCCTCACGCTGGACCCTGTGGCTAATTATCTCGTGCTCGGTAAGCTCGACGAAACACGCGTTGAAGCTGCTGAAGCCGGTAGAAATTAGTAATGGAGTCGGTTTTAGTAAATTCACAGTCAAACAAAATGATACTTTGGAACCTAAGTACGAATTGCGATTTATGCACTCTAAAAGAGTGTTGTGGGCTCAATATTTTTTTCAGGTTTCGATATTCAAATGCTTTTTTAAAGCCCTTTGCTAAAAGCAATTATATACATGTAAGGGTAGTCTTACAATTTTTTCGATGGAAGTTTGAACCAAATGTCACAGCTCCGGTTAAGTGCGAAAATTACTTAAGCTCGATAATCTCGATACCGGAATTTACGGCCCGGTGTAAAAACTACCTTTCAATTAAAAACCGTAAAAGCGGCGGAAGGCGAAAAATCGCGCACAAGATACTCCTGTCCATTTGAAACCGTCGGTTTGTTCACAGTATTGTAGAAAAGGCGCTTGAACTAGGACACTGTTTTAATGCCAAACTGATTAGCCCAATCCTTTCCCCCATACATTTCCTGTTTAAAGGGTCACCATATAAACGTTAATTTAAACAGACCAAAAGCATACCTCAAGTGTGATTTTGAAAGACTAGTTCTCCCAGGAGACGACCCTTCAGCCTATAAAGGATGCACGGTTTATGAAAGATTTCTTGTAGAAAGGTACCTTAGGTAGTCTTTTTGCGTACCGCGACGTGATTGGCTTTCCAACAAAAAATGGTATCTTCAAAGCGATGTCTACTGTAAAAATGTCGTGAAAAAAGACGGAACGAGCAGTACCGTGAGGAACATTCACTCAAATTTCGCTTTTGTTCCATCAGTCTCTCGTGCTAGCCGCGCAAAGTAACACTCACTGTTGTTTCTATACATCGGTTTGCGTCGTGCTAGCGATATTAATATCAGTACGGTGTAGAGATGCAAGATGTGGCGTCAGCACCTGTGCTGTATCGATTTAAATTGCTCATGCATGCATTCACAGCGCGCGCCACTGAATCGGCACCATTAGCGTCTCCAGCAAGCACGACAAACACGACCCAATGAATACAGTCGCTGTCTGCTGTGAAGTGGCGGGTTAATAAATGCATCGTTGTGATTGATGCGACTGTCTCGTCATTGTAAGATGAAGAGCCGTAAATGCTGCCACTTAGACCGCTACGCGTTTCTGTGAAAGCCGTGAATGGAACGCTTTTTGCCAGGTTGCGCACAATAACTGTGAGTCGGTTAGGATAGCTGTTACAATGAAATCATAAATAAGGTACCTTATTACCGTGTACAGTCGGTTACTTTTCAACGGGTTTAGGAAACACTTGAGAGTTGAAATGGTCTGTCCGATTCAGTACGATGTAGCTACTACATGCATAGTACTGCTTGACATGGGGCTGGATCGGGCGCTTTTATTTACCGAAATTATTCGACATGACACACAGAAATACAAAATACTTGAATCCAAAAAAGGTGTTATTCAAACTAAAGGATTCATTCAACAAGCTACGCTTGGTGTATCCTCGTGTACTTTCAGACGAAAAGGGAACCGCTTTGACGTCAACGTCTTTGGAGTCAAGTCCTTCGGCTTCTCCTTCAGCCACGCTGGTGATCGATAGTAGGTACACCTTTCGCAGTCGCAGCTTCTACACCGAGGTTCGTATTTTAGTAAGTCCGCAAATTGTTCAATAAGATTCATCGCATGGACAAGCCACACGATCATGCTGTGTCGTTTTTTCCACGCGAAGACCTTGACGTCGATGACCCTCGATGGTAGCTCTGTCAGCTGCTGAATCGGCCCGCATTACTATGAGCTGCTGGGTGCTCTGGTCTTGTTTGAGCCGATCTCGCAGAATGAAGTCATTCAAAAATTGGATGCGCGCACAAATGTCCCAGCGAGTAATCTAAAGCACCAACGGAAGCGTAATCAGTGAAATATAAAGCTAAACATTTATATGCGACGTACCTCCGATAGCTCCATACGCGTCCTTAGCCACCTCGGCATCCACAGGTAATCATGACGATATTTCTCTCCACGGAGAGAGAGGTTCTTGTCAATATCTCGCATTTCTTTAACAGGGAGTGCGGCTACAAAATCGTCTACATCTGCAGTGGACCTAAATTTCGGCTCGACTTTCTATCATGATAGATCAAAACACGACATAGCTATCGTGATCACACTGACTACTTACTCGCCCGCGTGGGTTAACGAACACAGGATATGTCGAGTCAAATTCGACATTATCACCAGCACGGAAGTGTGATAGTATCTAAAAAACGAATGCGTCAAGGATTAGATCGAAATAAATTTAAATTGAATTACATTTCACACCGGCTCCTCACGTTTCGCTTCGTAAATGCCTTTCCCGTTTGATGCAAGGGTCATTCCCGGGCCTGGCAGCTGTCATCATTGTGAGTGGAGTATTATTCATAATCTGCGGTCATTTCCGTACCTCAACAGGTTAGTTATCAGAACGGTGATCCATCATCTGCGTTCTACACGTCGATTTCTGAACTGGTGGCTTGCAAGTTGCTCAAAAAGCATGCTACTTCAATTGGACCATATATATTGGGGTTTGTATGAATTGATTTGAGCCTAGTGGATCGTTCTACGCCGTCGGCAGCCTAATTTAAAGGGTACGCATACGTATCGGTACCGGCTTCATGGGTACTGAGCCAGATCGATATCACGATCTTGAACGTTACAAAAAATGGTACTTCAACAGAAGATAAGTGCTGGTATCAGATCAAACTGTACTTAAATAATAGCTTAGCTACCGTATCTAATACAACTTCAACACAATCGTCTCCTACGCTCGAGTCGATATATCGCTGTCCTCGCAGCTTCAACAGCGCGCCAATGGTGCATCGGATCGCTCGTTAAAACCGTCATGCACTCGCATAGCTACCAACGTTTCGTGATGGTCGTCGTAGCAACGGAGAAATCAGCTCATGTGCAGCTACTATGGCGGAGCGGGGAGTCGCATCTGGGAAATTCACCAACAGCTATGCGGAGAAGGCTGGTGACGCTTTTTAACTCGGTCCAATACGTCATAATGACGTCCATATACCCGTCATCGCTGTCAACAGGATACTGGGATCGGTTTTGATCTTGTTGATGGGATGCTCGCGGACTGCACGCTATTGAGTTAGTAGGTGTAGCATCATGGACGGGCATTGTGACACCAAGCCAATCGTTCGTCTTGCCTTCTGCAGCGTACGACGACTGCACGGAGAACGACACATACATGGCGTATGAGACGTGCACACATTGCACGCTTCCACGCAGGCCGCCGCCAAAAATCCCGACATACACTCGAACGGCCCCATCGACGCTAACGGGTTCACCAAATCAGCGACGACATCGGCGCCATGATATCCGTCGAGGCCGTCGCCACGTCCATCACGGTCGGCGCTGTAGAGCTACTCGACACCACCGCGGACCCCGGCAACACTAACGGGACGGTAGGGTACGCTTGTCACCAACTCGACTTAAGCGTACGATGAGCTCAATATATGCTTGTGAGAGTCATGGGCAGCACTGCGTACGTCGTTTGCGTAGCCTTCGCGTTAGGTTGACCAGCTACATCGGGCTTGGCGACGGCTTCCAAAAATAAGCCAGTCGTAATTGACGCTGACGGTCATTAGAGCGTCGGCCGCCCGGGCCGCCATTCATGGAGAGACTCAGTATCTCACCTGCGTGTTCATACTGACCAGTGCGCTCATTGCCGGTGCTCATTGATTCACACGTCTGGTATATATCACCAGCAACAGCAGTGGCATTGGTTGTAGATCCATGCGCCACAGACGCATATAGAAGCTGATTGGGCAGGGCAAAGAGTCGTACTATCAGGGTGTCGGTATGAAGCATCACCCCAGCCTGCAGCCATACTGGAAGTGGATGCTGGACAACGACCCACGCTCATTTTGCGTTTTGTATTAGGTGTTGATTGCCGGGGGGTCCTTCTTGGAGGATGACGTCTGTTGTCGTCATCTAGGTGATCGCAGTAACAGCAGATCTCGTAGAGTCGGGGCCGCCCTATCTATTCTGGCGTAGTGTCGAGTAGAGAAGAGCGTGACTATACCGGTAGCCGATTAAGTATAAGCTTGCGAAAGCTCAAGTCGACGGCGGACGCGATATTAGCTGGTGAGACATATGGGTCAAACTATCATATTTCGGTAGGACGCAGCACCAGCTTCGGCTTCGGCTAAAGACCCTGAAGCGAACCCACGGAACAACCTTGGACAAATTACCAAAGCGCTTTACGGATGCTGTAAATAAAACAAAGCCGATCAGCTCCAAACATGACAATGGCGTTGGACACTAGACAGGTGGTCAGTGCTAATCAAGCAATGACTCGCCTCCTGCGTTATGATACGAGTCGTGAAGAGTATGTACGAGGCCACCACCCCGACCATCACGCTGGGCGAATTGTCCCGACCGGCGTGGCGTTAATCTTAGCCACACTTCCACCGCTTCAATCAAGCGATAATTTCGTTGATATTGGATCTGGAATCGGGAATGTCGTAGCGCAGGTTGCCCTGGAGAGTTGAGTTGGGAAGTGTGTGGGCATCGAGGTCCAGAACGACCTAGGACAGCTGTCGGAGATGCAGATCCAGGCTGCAAAGTGCCATTGCCTGAGAATATCAAAAGATATCGATTTTTAATGCTGATCTAAGAAAGTTGAGTGAAATCGCCCAGACGGCAATACAGGACATGAGTGTACTGTATTCGAACAACATTGGCTTTGATCCAACGAGCAATGAGGCACTCGAGAAGCTGGCAACCGCGGTTCCTACTCTGATCCATTTAGTTGTGATGGCCAAAATTTGCGGTCGTCATTGAGCGAACTGCCGTCGCCGCTTTTGCGCAACCTGGAGACTGGAACGGTCAATTACTGATCCAGTATCCTGGACCTCAAAACCTCATGAGGCCTACTGCTACACAAGGTCCTCCTCCATGGTAGTAGCCCTCGATAAGCCGTCATCATAAATACACAATGCGTGTGTGTATTACAATATTCATCAGTGCAAAAACCGTTAAATCTGTTAACCACGCAACGGATCGTACGAGATGCTTATTTCTACATGCCGCATCATTGGCGAGCGCAAAACGGGCATTCATTCCATGCGTGCCACCACAGCATGTAAGCGGACAGCCTCACAGATTCTACGATCACCAGCACAACCAAATCGGACGATGAGAGGTTGGTGTAGGGTGAGAACCTGGTGGACCACGCGTACATGGTGTACGAGACGTACACATTGTACTCGCTCACGCCAGTCACCGACAAGAGCCCTAGCACGACCTCAAATGGACCCACCGACGCTAACGGTATCGCCGAGTTCAGCTAGGACATTGGCACCACGGTATCCGTCGTAGCCGTCACGATGTCCGACGGGCTCAACACCGCCGTGCCACTCGACACCACCACGGACTCCAGCATCACTACCGGGACGCCAGGTGATACCTGCCACCAATTCACTCAAATCGTACGATGAGAACCTGGCGACGGGTAAGGATATGGTGTACGACGAATGCATAGTGTACGAAGCGTTCATGACGTACGAGACGTACATATTGAAGTCACCAACGTTTGCCACCGACAGCGGCTCTAGAACGCATTCGAAAGATCTCACTACTGACACTTAGGGTTTTTTGGAGTCTGGCGAGGACATCGGCACCACGGTTTCCGTCGTGGTCGTCACGATGTCCGTTGGGTTCGGCGCCGCCGTGTCACTCGACACCACCACGGACCCCAGCAACACTACCGGGACGGCTAATGATGCCTGCAACCAACTCACCCAAATTGTACGATGAGAACCGGGCGTAGGGTGAGGACCTACTAGGACGAAGATATAGTGTACGAAGTGTTCATGACGTACGAAACGTACATATTGTACTCACCAACATTTGCCGTCGACGGCAGATCTAGCACGCATTTGGATGACCTCACTACTGACACTAACGGGTTTGTGGAGTCCAGCGACAACATTGGCATGCCAGTTGGCTTTTTGCTACCGCCCGTGCCGAATGTGCTCGATCTTGTATCTCTCGCTAATGGCAAAAAAATCAGCTTCCAGCTGCACCTATAGCAGCGATTACAAGAACAGCTAAGCCATAAATCGCCGTGCCAAGCAATGCGACGCACTTTGTGTTGGAATGGGTTCATAATAATACGGGATCTGAATTACAATTAAATTTTTGAGAATGTCGTGGAAGTTTTAACGTTGGTTCGATGGGTGCAGGCCAGTTTGAGTTTTTTTCAGATGTCTTCGCTTTCAGTAAAAGCAGCCAATCACACTTCATTCCGAAATTTCCTGTCGAGCGATTGGCTAGCCATGTTGAACTTGTGCGTATCTGCACGTTTAGTGGGGATTGAGAATGGCGCCGAGGTTTGACGCGCTTTTGCGGAGTGGCAGCAAACCAATTGTCATTTTCGGATTTGCCAGCTCCGGCTAACTCGTCTTCAACACCTCGCTCTCGAACGCTGACGGCTACCTGTATAGTCACGCTCTTCTCTACTCGACATTACGCCAGAATCGGGGGGGGCGGCCCCGAGTCTACGAGATCTGCTGTGGCTGCGATCACCTAGATGACGACAACAGACGTCATCCTCCAAGAAGGAACCCCGGTAATCACCACCTAATACGAAACGCAAAATGAGCGTGGGTCGCTGCTCCAGCATCCACTTCCAGTATGGCTGCAGGCTGGTGTGGTGCTCGATACCGACACCCTGATAGTACGACTCTTTGCCCTGCCCAATCAGCTTCTATATGCGTCTGTGGCGCATGGATCTACAACCAATGCCACTGCTGTTGCTGGTGATATATACCAGACGTGTGAATCAATGAGCACCGGCAATGAGCGCACTGGTCAGTATGAACACGCAGGTGAGATACTGAGTCTCTCCATGGATGGCGGCCCGGGCGGCCGACGCTCTAATGACCGTCAGCGTCAATTACGACTGGCTTATTTTTGGAAGCCGTCGCCAAGCCCGATGTGGCTGGTCAACCTAACGCGAAGGCTACGCAAACGACGTACGCGGTACCGCCCACGACTCTCAC